AGTGTAGCAAATCCAATCGAACAGTCATGGCCGGCATATTTACAAACAAATAGCAAAAATGGCAGCCTGGGATTGCTGGGGATTTTGCGACTGATTTATTTTGCAAATTAGAACTAGGCCTATTGGAATTTCATAGGTGTTATATCTTGTGAATAGACTAGATGCGAATAGAAATAATCTTGATTTACATCATTAATATTCAAAATTCAAAGTGATGTCATATTTGAAATCTACATGTAGAAGTACATCTAGAAAAATGGTTTCGAAAATTGTTTATCAACTTTGAAAATTGAATTTTTTTTGAAAATGTGATTTCTTGTTCGGGTTGATTCCTTATAGACCCCATGTTACAAAATCAAAAAAGTGAAATATCTTTTCTTGTATTGGTCAGATAACATTTTCTTTTACTGGACATATTTTAATTTGCATAACTATTAGATACATTAGGGTTATATAAAAACTGAACCACTAAAACAGATGTAATTTAAGTTAAAGGGAACTTTCTACCATACCCGCCATGTTATCTGACCCGAACGAACCACCTGGTGGTGAAACTGGTAACTACCTACTCACATCTGCGTTATTTTTCAAAACTCACGAAAAGCGTGTAACTATGTAATAAGAGTACAGTCAGTAAAACTTGTATAAGTAGAAAGCCTTTCATACCTCAAAATAGTGTTACTAATGTGAACATATATGTTCATTTTACAGTTTGAGGTTTATGGGTTTAACTGGACAAAAATGTGTGAAATGCAGAAGTGTTTCATTTTGAAGCTTGAAAAAAATTGCAAACTGTTAAATAGAATATCTTGAAATGCCATTATTTTGCATTTCATATTAATTCCCAATCCAGAGTGCATAACTCAGTGGCTTTATATGCTTCATTGTATTTTAAGATATTTTATTTAGCTCAAAAATTCTGGAGAGTGTGCTATTGTAATGCTAATTATTATCAAATGGCTGCTTGTCAAAGAAGGAACTCCCAAACATTTCTGATTTGGATTGTTCTTTTATGTGTATTGTCTGAAAAAAATGCCAGCCATTTTCAAAATGGCCACCTTCTACGAAAAGTGTCATTAGACAGTATGCCATGCTTGTAATATTCACATACCAAATATGAACTAAATCGCTCCACTACTTTTAGAGTTACAGTAAAATACGTTAAAATGGTGGCCAATTTTCAAAATTGGCGCCTTCTACCAAAAGTGTCATTAGACAGTGTGCCATGCTTATAGTACAGTAAAACCTGTCTTAGTGAACACCTCTCTCTAGTGAACACCTGTCCCTAGTGGACACCATTCCTACGCACATAGTCCACTGACTTCTGTATAAATTACCCTCTCTCTAGTGAACACCTACCTACAGTGAACGTTTTTTCTTGGCAAAAAAATGTTCACTATACACAAGTTTTACTGTATTCACATACCAAATATGAACAACATTTTTAAATGCTGCTCATATATGGTCATACGATTCTTAGCGTAAAGCCCAGTTAACCAATAGGGAAGCAACATTTTTAAATGCTGCTCATATATGGTCATACGATTATTAGCGTAAAGCCCAGTTAACCAATAGGGAAGCAACATTTTTAAATGCTGCTCATATATGGTCATACGATTCTTAGCATAAAGCCCAGTTAACCAATAGGGAAGCAACATTTCTAAATGCTGCTCATATATGGTCATATGATTCTTAGCGGAAAGCCCAGTTAACCAATAGGGAAGTAACATTTTTAAATGCTGCTCATATATGGTCATATGATTCTTAGCGTAAAGCCCAGTTAACCAATAGAGAAGCAACATTTTTAAATGCTGCTCATATATGGTCATACGATTCTTAGCATAAAGCCCAGTTAACCAATAGGGAAGCAACATTTCTAAATGCTGCTCATATATGGTCATATGATTCTTAGCGGAAAGCCCAGTTAACCAATAGGGAAGTAACATTTTTAAATGCTGCTCATATATGGTCATATGATTCTTAGCGTAAAGCCCAGTTAACCAATAGAGAAGCAACATTTTTAAATGCTGCTCATATATGGTCATATGATTCTTAGCATAAAGCCCAGTTAACCAAAAGAGAAGCAACATTTTTAAATGCTGCTCATATATGGTCATATGATTCTTAGCGTAAAGCCCAATTAACCAATAGAGAAGTAACATTTTTAAATGCTGCTCATATATGGTCATATGATTCTTGTTAGCGGAAAGCCCAATTACAATAGGGAAGTAACATTTTTAAATGCTGCTCATATATGGTCATATGATTCTGAGCATAAAGCCCAGTTAACCAATAGAGAAGTAACATTTTTAAATGCTGCTCATGTATGGTCATTCGATTCTTAGCGTAAAGCCCAGTTAACCAATAGAGAAGTAACATTTTTAAATGCTGCTCATATATGGTCATACGATTCTTAGCGGAAAGCCCAATTAACCAATAGAGAAGCAACATTTTTAAATGCTGCTCATATATGGTCATTCGATTCTTAGCGTAAAGACCAGTTAACCAATAGAGAAGTAACATTTTTAAATGCTGCTCATATATGGTCATACGATTCTTAGCGGAAAGCCCAATTAACCAATAGAGAAGCAACATTTTTAAATGCTGCTCATATATGGTCATATGATTCTTGTTAGCGGAAAGCCCAATTAACCAATAGAGAAGTAACATTTTTAAATGCTGCTCATATATGGTCATATGATTCTTCTTAGCGGAAAGCCCAATTAACCAATAGAGAAGTAACATTTTTAAATGCTGCTCATATATGGTCATACGATTATTAGCGGAAAGCCCAATTAACCAATAGAGAAGCAACATTTTTAAATGCTGCTCATATATGGTCATACGATTCTTAGCGTAAAGCCCAGTTAACCAATAGAGAAGTAACATTTTTAAATGCTGCTCATATATGGTCATATGATTCTTGTTAGCGGAAAGCCCAATTAACCAATAGAGAAGCAACATTTTTAAATGCTGCTCATATATGGTCATACGATTCTTAGCGTAAAGCCCAATTAACCAATAGAGAAGTAACATTTTTAAATGCTGCTCATATATGGTCATATGATTCTTGTTAGCGGAAAGCCCAATTAACCAATAGAGAAGTAACATTTTTAAATGCTGCTCATATATGGTCATATGATTCTTGTTAGCGGAAAGCCCAGTTAACCAATAGAGAAGCAACATTTTTAAATGCTGCTCATATATGGTCATATGATTCTTGTTAGCGGAAAGCCCAATTAACCAATAGAGAAGCAACATTTTTAAATGCTGCTCATATATGGTCATACGATTCTTAGCGGAAAGCCCAGTTAACCAATAGAGAAGCAGCATTTGAAAATGTCATATATGGTCATCAGGGCACGCCTTAAGCGTCGGACTGTCGGCTGTGAATACAAGTAGAATGCGGAAGCATATCAATGATGCTATTGACTAATTTAGACCAAAACTGAGGGCTACATTTGATCAAAATGGTGGGCATATTGAATATCTGTTTATGTAAATAAAGTTGACTTGGTTTTTGCAAGTTTTTGAGAACCTGTTTTGAAATGAAAATGACATCATTTATTTATATTATGGACGCTGGTTGACAGACACTATAATTAATTTGAACTTATGATATACCAAATTAAAGATAAGTTAATTCCCTATCCAATGGTATATAATATAACATGTTTTCATCAAGAAAATCAATATTTATTTTTGAAATACGAGTGTCCCATTTTTTTGGACCACCCCGTATTTGCATGTTTCCACACAAGAGATCTTTACTTCACTGATCATTTGCAAATCATGAGTTTTCTGGAGTGTATACTGGACGAAACAAATCTAGTTATCAAAGATTACAATTTTTTAATGAAAAATACTGCATGCTATTTGAATTGAAAGACCATTGTAAAATGTCCTTCTCTAGGATAAGATGCCCAATAAGTCCTATGCTCATAAGGTATAAGTCTATAAAATTGGAACCAGTAAAAGAATGTGGATGGATGGACAGATTCTCTATATCCCTATTCAAACTATATTCATTGGGACATAACTAACTGCCAGTCAGGTTGTCAATCTGTCAGACTGCCAGACTCTTCTTAGAAGCTAATTCGCAGAATAAACAATATCTATCACTAAATTAATTCATATGGGAGTCAAATACATGTATAGGGAATTCATTTCACAAGCTTACTGACATATACACCCTTTACATTTTGATACAACCAATTAAAATCAACCCAGGATCAGTATAGGAAGACACAATTGGACCAAAAACAAAACAAGCTCCACAAAAGCACTAGTATATATAGGATGAGCCAACCTCTAATAACCTAGCAATTTTTGTTTACTCTAGAAGAAGTATTTCATCAAAGCAAGGAATGACGTTTGAATGAAATCACACCACTAAACAGACACACACTTGGCATAAACAATTAATACAAAATGTTATTACCTTGTCAGATTTATTGAAAAACTTTCAAAATGAATTTCTCGGGTGATGAATTCAAAGGAATCTCCATGATTTACAACTATTTTATGATATTCAGAGAGTTGATATGTAGCTCAATAAATGTTGAAATTTTCAACGAGATTGGGCATTGTTAACTTAGTTTTTATGTCATTCTGAAAACTTATTGAACGACCTGTGTATATTAAAACCGGACTAATTCAGTGTACAGATTATCCCAACAAGAGCTCAGATTAGCAGATGTCAATGAGAGATAACAGAAGTTGTGCTAAAAAAGTGTTCACTTTCAGAGGTGTTCAAATAAGAGAGGTTTTCTGATTTACAGTTTTCACTATTGTAGTTTTCGGATTTTCAAATTCCAAACAAAATTGGTCAAAACATCCTAATTTCTGTGGTTCTTTTCCTATTTAAGTAGGCGCAAATAATCTTTCAGGTAGGTGATAGCCTTTTTTCAAAATCCTCAATGGAAATATTGCTGCCAACCTCAATACTAAGGAGAATACTGTGATGTATATGAATATTTCAGATAGACATTGCTACTTACCCATGTCTCCTGTTTCCCCTGAGGGTCCACAAATATCAAGTGTGTAGCTGTTAAATACAATGTCCCATTTGATGATTTTTTAGAATTGAATCGGTCTATCAGGCGGACATTTTCTACCTACAAATAAAAAGTATAATACTTTATCAGGGTCTGTAAATAGTAGTTTAGATAAATAAATCTTAATGACATCTCCCAAATGGGTACAACATTGTCCCTGCCAAGTGCCACTTGTCATGTTCATTACCTCAATTGTACCATCTGGCATGATGTGCATATCCTTAAAGTGGGTGATGTTATGAAAAGTTGACCATCCAACATCACGAACAAGGTCTAACATTTTCCGTTGCATTTCCACAGAGTCCTTGAAGCCATGTTTAAGTATAGTTTTTGCATCATAGTTGGAACATTTCAATGAGGCTAACATCATTGTCATATTTTCTGCTCAGTAAATGGTTACTGTTACACCACCTATTTTCTACATTTTTGAGAAATTAGTGTTTTACATGTGTTTAACTGAATATATTAAGCAAAGTAACTCAGCCATGACTGATGACCATTTCCTCTCAGATGTACCCCTGAGTACTCCTCTTTCCACCAATTTTTAACAGAATATGCTTTATCCTCACTTGTGAAATATTCTATTGATATTTTACATTATTAGCGTATGTCTGCGAATATTCCTGATCTCCTGGCCTGTTCACATTGATAATTTAATCAAAAATGAGTGGTTTCCATTGGTTATTGGTAAATTTTTCTTAGCCCTAATTTACTGAATATCAATGAGCTTCACTGCAGGCATGGTATCATTAGAGTAAGACCATCATTGATCTGTACCAATATCCAAGTATTCAGCAAAATCAATTTTCCCTATGTCTCTCCAACTTCATATCAATCATGAGTTCGTGTAAGTTGGTCTCATTATGACTCTGGCAGGCAAACTTGGACGGATAGTTTTTAATAATATTTAAAGTTTTTTTAATTCTTAACTCTTATTATATACTCTCTACATGTGGTATTCAAATTTCAACATGTTTCTAACAATAGAACTCAATATACTTTTCTGAGAAAGAAATGATTCAGTTAAATATTTCCTGACATCCAATTTATCCTGGCTCAATATCAAGGTTATATCCCAGACAATCTATGTTATTAGTTGCAGTATTTCATGTGTTGCAATATTAATAGACTACAGTTTGTAACATCCAAATTCTGGCTCCATTTCCAGGTTATATCATTGTAAGACTTAACTTAGGCATGGCATGTTATTAGTTGTGATGTTTTGTGCATTGCAATGCAGACTACTACAGTATAGGGACACAATGATAGCCCAATCAGAAAAAATCCAATAGAATCATCATTTCCTTACAGAAAATAAATGCTGAAATTAAGCCCATTTATTTATATTTAACAATTTCATAGTAAAAAATTATACAAGGAGAAATGAGGAGAGTAGATATACATGTACAGCAATTAAAATTGTAAAAGACAATAAAACAGATGAAATCAATACAGATGTAATAAATATATGGATATAAAGGAATAAATGGCATAAAATTTGTAGAAGTATTATAATATCATCATCATCATATGTATTGATTCCTTGGTGCTTCTAATTCAAAGAGTTTACACATTAGCAAAGTATTATTTCATCTCTAAACTTTGAAATGCATAATAGGTTTCTCTCCTGGACAATCAGTGATGTAGCATTAAAATATTTCATTATTGCCGATATATTGAGAAAATCAACGGGACAACCAATTGTCAGAATTGAGCACCATTGAGTTTGATTGCAGCAATCAGAACTAGACAACAGCAACGCCAAAGCGTAGCAAATCCCATCAAACAGCCATGGCTAACATTTTTACAAACAACGTATGTAGCAAAAATGGCCGCCATTTTTTCGAAATGGCCACCTTCTACCAAAAGTGTCATAAGCCAGTGTGCCATGCTTATAGTATTCACATACCAAATATGAACAAAATCAATCCACTACTGTTCGAGTTATAGTAAAATATGTCAAAATGGCCACCTTCTTCCAAGTGTCATGAAACAGTGTGCCATGCTTGTAGTATTCACATACCAAATATAAACAAAATCGCTCCACTACTTTTCGAGTAATAGTAAAATATGTTAAAATGGCGGTCATTTTTCAACCAAAAGTATCATAAGACAAAGTGCCATGTTTATAGTATTCACTTACCAAATATGAAAAAATCGCTCCACTACTTTTTATAGTAAAATACATTAAAATGACCACCATTTTCCAAAATGGACACATTTTTCAAAATGGCCACCTTCTACCTAAAGTGTCATTAGACAGTGTGCCATGCTTATAAGTATTCACATACCAAATTTGAACAAAATCGCTCCACTACATTTCGAGTTATAGTAAAATACGTTAAAATAACGAGTTCAGGCTGCCATTTTTCAATACAATTTTTTTACATTTAAAACATACTGTACTCCTGGTAAATTTCGACGCTTTAAAATTTCGCGATTTTTCAAAATTGCAATTTCGCGGCAATGTAATTTCGCAGATTTGAGTTGATGACATTTCGAGGATTGCATTAGTTGAATTTTTTTAACTTTTTCAATTTATTTGAATACTCTTGAATGGCTTTTTCAACTTCAATTTGAAGGATATCATTGTCGTCAATAGTTCTTGCCTTTGTTGGCCTAATACGCCAATTCAAAATGTTAAGACATTTTAGGTCTCTTTTGAATTATCACCCAGCAACACTGGACGAAACGTATTACACCGAACAAAACATATCAAAAGTTCTGGGTCAAATCCCCGGAGATTTAAAGGACAAATTTCGCTACAATAAATGTTCGCGATTTAACTACATTTGCGAACAAAGCGAAATTAAATCGCACGCGAACAATACCCGGAGTACAGTATTGCTATAACAGTTTTACATATTGTACCTAAATTACTGTAAAATCGGCACTAAAATGGCCACCATTTTTAAATGAGCGGCCATAGGGTATATGTGTACAAAATATGAACAGGATCAGGCTAACAGTATTTGAGTTATTGCCCGGACTGACGTACGGACGGACGGACCAACGGACAGACGAATGCCTGGTCGATCCCATAGGCTCACTGTGTGAGCCAATAATACATTATTGTAAATATCTTTAGTTTTCCTGAAATAAAGTATGCACTTTGGTGATTTTAAGAAAAAAGACATGAAAAGGAAAGACATGAGCCAGAAATATTCTAAAATTGAAACAATTTTTTGTCGGGCTGCTCACTAGATCTGATTCTCTCTTTACAGTGTCGTGGTACTTAAGAGAAAATGAGAAAACAGGAAGTGACAAAACCATGCTAGATTTCAAACATTTTCATCTACGCTATGATGAGCATACAATTATTGTACACTAAGGCTCGTGAAATTCTAAGTAACTTTGACCTCAATAGTGAAAATTTATTTGTCAATCTCATTTCAAGTAAAAACTTAACATTACAAAGACACATTGGAAAATTCATTTATCATTCATTTAAGAATTTGTAGTCAGAATGCAGGGTATGTGCACCACACTTTAAATGTAACCTTGTCCTTTCATCATGATGTATACTACCTTTTATTTTGTGTTTTTGTATATCTCGAATATATTTTTGTACTTTTGCATTTAGATATCTAGTTTTTTCATAGTTATGACTTATGTAATCATGTTATGATACAAGATGTCAACAAGAACACAAATATGTACAATATGTCCCCACCAATGGGTGATCCTGTCAAATGGTTATCCTGAAATGAGTAGACAAGACTTTACCGTTACAATTTTGGGATGGAAAATGCAAAAATTTACCCAGAATACCAAAAAATTAGTCAGCTCTAGATTTTCATACTAAGAATCATCCCTGAAAATTTGAAATTGATCCGTCAAACAGTAAACCAGAAAACACGTAAACAAGACTTTACAGACAAGATTTTAGGACGTAAAAATCCAAAATGGCTGCCTTGACATTTACCCAGAATGCCAAAAAACTAATCAGATCTAGAATTTCATAATAAGAATCATCCCTAAAAATTTGAAGTTGATCTACCAAATGGTTCACCTGAAAACGCGTAGACAAGACTTTACAGACAAGATTTTAGGACGTAAAAATCCAAAATGGCAGCCCTGACATTTATCCAGAATGCCAAAAAACTAATCAGTTCTAGATTTTAATACAAGGAATCATCCCTGAAAATTTGAAATTGATCTACCAAACGGTTCACCTGAAAACACATAGACAAGACTTTACAGGCAAGATTTTATGACGGAAAATCCAAAATGGCTGCTTTGACATTTACCCAGAATGCCAAAAAACTAGTCAGATCTAGATTTTCATAATAAGAATCATCCCTAAAAATTTGAAATTGATCTACCAAACGGTTCACCTGAAAACGCGTAGACAAGACTTTACAGACAAGATTTTAGGACGGAAAATCCAAAATGGCTGCCTTGCCATTTACCCAGAATGCCAAAAAACTAATCAGATCGAGATTTTCATACTAAGAATCATCCCTGAAAATTTGAAATTGATCTACAACACGATTCACCTGAAAACCCGTAGACAAGACCTTACATACAAGATTTTAGGACAGAAAAATCCAAAATGGCCGACAATAAAAAAGTGATTGTGAGTTTTTGCTGATTTCCTTTTACAAAATTGTCACATATAACCACTGTTAACAATAACATAGGCTTTTACAACAAACTACACCTGAAATTATTTATAAAGCTACTAAATAGTTAAAGTATGAAAACTCGAAAACACCGTTCAATATGAAACAAAGCATTATCGCGCGCTAATTTTTCTTAAGACATTAAAAATGGCTGACATGACTGAGCTAACAGGTCCAAAACCTAATCAGATGTAGAATGAAGTAAGCTGAACAAGATTTTAAAGTTTTAAAAATAACCGTGAAGCAGTTTTTCTTAAAGTTTGCAGACAAGGATTTTAGCATTTGACTTCAAAATGGCCGACAGGAAGTAGGTATCGAGCTAAAAAAATTTCGTCCACATCTGTATGCACTCATAAGTTATCCCTGAAAATTTGAAGGTGATATCTGTAGCGGTTTTGGAGAAAACAAACGGACGGACGGACAGACAGACAGATGTGGTGGGGACATAATAAAAGTTATATATTGCAACTTTTTGGTCAGTTGCGATTGAAACATCTTCCCATTTGCGATTGCGTTGCGTTGAGCCGAGCGGATGATACAAATCCTGATTGCGATTCGCTAAAACTTGCGTTGCGTTGCACTTGCGAATCTGCGTTGCGACGAGCGGATGATGAGGCCTCAGGATCACAATGTACTGGTCAGAATGACCCTAAACATGATGAAATAACTTTTGCAACATTCTGAAAATGTGACTGAAAAATAGCTAAAATAATCTTTGCTTAAAATCAGTTAATAGTGACATCGTACATCAAAAGTGTACTACGGTATATTTTGTCACTGTCACGTGACTGTACCTTGTCGATGGTTAGGCGTGTAAGAGGTGATTTAAAAGATGTCCAGGATTTTACTTTTTGCAAGTTTGTCAAAGTCATTTCCCCATGTGATATTGGGTCAATTGGATTGACC